CCCCAAAACCCCAAAACCCCAAAACCCCGTTTAGCAGTATTATTGTTCTTATAAATAAATGATTAATTAAATTGTTAAGACTTATATGATATTATTATTCGATGATTTTATTCGTCTTGTTATAGTGTTTTTAGCAAGAGTCAAGAGACTCTTGTGAATTAATAATGATTTATCAAAAGCCTTATATAATTGAAGAGTAGGTAGCTCAATTACTACTGTAAATTTAGCATAAACCTTTTTAGATTTTCTCAAGATAAAGTTTTTTATCATACTTTAGCCAATTTTTAGTGTTGCTAAGTATAGTACTAACGTATTCATCCTTTAATAACTCTTAAGATATTTATAATGTGATATTTTCTACTGTTCTTTTCGCAGCATCCAAATGACTTAATGGTATTTTTTTAATTATTTAATTTAGATGATTATCCATTGTTCTAGGGAGTTTGGTTTATAGGTAATCTTTTGTATATTTCCTGTCCTCATCATCATTTAAATATTACCTATAGCATAGTATATTTCTGAGCTTTTTGTTATAACAAATCATTCTGACTGAAAGATGATCTCTGTATTGCAATGCGTCTAATTATTAGACTTGTATACAATCGTTCATGTCAGTAATTTCTAATTTAATCAGATCTTTGACTTATTACAGATTTATAGCAAATTATTTCAAAATGAATTCGCTCTTAGCTTAAAAATTTTAGTCTTTCTGTTTGAACTAGTCTTCATCGGTAATAATCATCTCCAATTCAATACTCTAATTTTAGTTTAGTCTATTTATTTCTAATACTTATCTCTTCTCTTCTAACTTAGTTTACCAGGCTTACTTGAATCTTTTCTTTCAATTTTCGTTAGTTTATTTTATGGTTAATATTCTAGAGAATTTATGGAAATTAAGTATCTAATGAAGAATTGATTTATAATGGTTCTGGATCAGCGTATCTCCCCTCTTATTCAGGGATTAATTAAAGTGTGGATTCATCATAATAAAAAGCATTGAAACCATTTTCTTTTTTAAGTCTCGGATCGTATATTTCTATTCTAAGCTTGAAGTTTAGGGCTTTTACTTAATTTTTGATAAAGTCGATATTTTCTTACACTTTTAATAGAACATTGACACTATCTAAGGGATCTTAGAATAAATTTCTTAATATACTTCGAGATACTTCTACTAGCTACGTAACATTTATAATCATTAAAATACTTGGATTAACTAGTATTTTATGCTAATTCAGCACTTTAGACATTTTAGATAAGTTATGACTTTAGAAATCAAAGTTATACTGTACAACTATGATTGGGCAAATATTCTGACATGTTTTTTGCATTTAACTATAAAAAATCTCCTCATATTTCCCTATTATCATAGTTGAAGCGCATATGATTTTAATATTTTTAAGCTCGAACAATTTGAAAGCTTAGGGATTTGAAGCAACTAAGTTTTATTTAAACGAGCAGTGCTTTTATTATAATACTAAGAGTTATAAATCAGAGACATATCTATTCTGCTACTGATTATAAACCTAGTACAAACTAATAAACTCACCTATACTCATTTATTTAATGTTATCATTAAGCTATTTATTATTGTCGCACTTTTAATCACTATTATTCATATTCTTAAACCTTGAATCATTGCAATTTTATGCGCTAGACTATTTAATAAAAGGATTTTCATAGTGCTCTTCAATGTCTTGCTTCATAGTGAATTCAATAATAGTACAACTTTCATCTATTTTTTAAATAAATTCATAATTATCAATGGATGTGTCAAGGATTTATTACAAAAGAAATAGTGAATCCTTAAAACTTTCTCCAATTATGAGGAAAGTACAAAAATCGTTGGCAGCAGGTTAATAATTCAATATTTTGGTAAGATCATCCTTGAATTCAATTAGTTTTATCTCTTCTTCTCCACAGCATTGGACTTACTTCAAAGTAGAATATTTGAGAAAATTCAGTGGATCCTTCAGCATGAAAGTATGCTTAATATGGCGAGATAAACATATGCAATAGTGACAGAGATAAGTATCACAGAATTCACATTTATAGAGATTCTAATTTTGTTGTTTGTGATTAACCGATTTCATCTGACTTAGGAAATTGATGACCCCACTGCATTTTATATCACCTATATATTGGTTTCATTATTCTTGAGCCACAAAATAATGAGAATGCCAAAATACCTTCAATTTCAGCTTCAATGTTATATCTTAGTCATTTCAATAAGCTTTGACTATTTCATCAATCTCCTTATCAATATAGCTTCTGTTTGATTCCATTTCAATTACTTTTTTACAATTTGATTAATTTATAAATTAAGATTTTATTTTGCAGAATCTTTATTTCAAGTAATTTACACTCTTGGGGTTTTGGGGTTTTGGGG